GGTAATGGAAACAAGCCCATTGTCTGTCTCAGTGCTGGTGGAAATGATATCAGGAAGGGTAGGAGAGAAGAACCGCTAGATAAGTACAGGTCGGCTAAGGGAAGGGTCCCAAATATATGCAGCATCTTGCCTAGAAGGGAAGTGGGCAACGAATGGATGTCTATGGCAATTGGTGTAAATTGCTGGCTAGACAAATACAGCAAGAAACTTGTAATCCCATTCATTGATAACTGGGACAACTTTTATGGCAAACATGATATGTATGCTAGGGATGGGGTACATCTCTCTGGGGCAGCGGTGGTAGCACTTGCAAACTCAATCGAGAGGGCCATTGTTGAAATGCCTAGGATGGAAGATAGAGGTATGGGTGTGTGTGGGAAACAGTCAGGTTGCAACACGAGGGTTGCAAACAGTAAATGTATAAAAGACATTCATCATGAAGTTATAAATAAAGACAATAGATCAGGTCAGAAAACAAAGGGAGACAGCAGAGGACAGCAAGGGACTATCTCCCTTAAGGTCTGCTATACTAATAGCAGGAGTGTAAGAAATAAGATAGATGAGCTAAGATTAATTGCAAGTGAAGGTAACATAGATATCATTGCAATAACAGAGACCTGGCTCAATCTGAAAGATAGAGAGATGCCTTCTGAATGTCACATACAAGGCTATAAATTATTCCACACTGACAGGGTCAACAGGAAAGGTGGTGGAGTAGCGATGTATGTCAGAGACAATTTAAATTCTTGTGTTAGACAAGCCACTGAATCTGTTTGGTTACAGCTTCTTGAGGGCCGTGAAAAACTAATTTTGGATGTGATTTACAGGGCCCCAAAGTTTGATAGGGAGTGCGGTAAACTTCTATGGGATGAAATTCATAAGGCTTCTACATACAAAAATGTTGTGATAATGGGAGATTTCAACTACAGACAGATTGACTGGAGCAATTTGACTGGAAATTTAGAGTCAAGTGACTTTCTTGATACGATTCAGGATTGTTTTTTAAAACAGTTTGTGACAGAACCAACTAGAGGAAATAACCTGCTTGACTTGGGTCTTGTCAGCAGGGAAACGCTAATTAATAATCTTGAGGTTAATGATGAGCTTGGGAAAAGTGATCACAAATCACTCAGTTTTAAAATATCGTGGAATTCCCCTAATAATGTCAATCAAGTCTCTGTCCCTGACTTCTGCTTGGCTGATTTCATAGGACTGAAAAATTACTTGGGTGGGCTGAACTGGAATGACCTGACTATGGGTCAGGTAGGTGGTGATGACTGCCGATATAACGTTTTCCAGGGCATAGTTCTAGCTACTCAGACAACTAATGTTCCAAATAGGGAAATCAGATCAAACAAAAATGATCCTAAATGGATGAACAATAGATTAAAACATCTCATTGGTCAAAAGAGAGGCATATATAGGCAAATCAAAAGAGGAGAGGGGCAATTAAGAAATCAATATATTCAGTTAAAGAGATAAATAAAGAAGGGAATAAGAAAAGCGAAAAGAGATTATGAGATTAAATTTGCAAGAGGATCGAAAACTAACCCAAAAGGATTCCTTCAGGTATACAGAAGTAAGATCAGGGAGAAGATAGGCCCGCTCAAAAGTTACCCAGGTCACCTCACGGACAGTGATAAGGAAATGTGTAGAATTTTTAACACATTCTTCCTCTCAGTTTTTACACAGAAAGATACTAGCAATATTCCAGAAATAATAAAATATGTAGAACAGGATGATAAACTATGCACGATTAGGGTCACAAGTGACATGGTCCTTAGGCAAATAGATAAAATAAAACCTAACAAATCCCCAGACCCTGATGAACTGTACACAAGGGTTCTAATGGAATGTAAAGAGGAGCTTAGCAAACCTATGGCTAATCTATTCAACATATCACTACAGACTGGCATGGTGCCAGATAAGTGGAAAATGGCAAATGTGATACCTATTTTCAAAGCAGGTGACAGGTCCTTACTTTCGAACTGTAGACCAATAAGCCTAACCTCCATAGTGGGAAAATTTATGGAATCAATAATTGCTGAGGCAGTTCGTAGCCACCTTGAAAAGCATAAATTAGTCAACGAATATCAGCTTGGTTTTACAAAGGGGCATTCCTGCCTTACAAATTTATTAATTTTTTTCACTAGGGTATTTGAGGAGGTAGATCATGGTAATGAATATGATATTGTGTATATGGACTTCAGTAATGCTTTTGACAGGGTCCCACATCAGAGACTTTCGAGGAAAATTAAGGATAGAGGCATGATTGACAAATAGGCAGCAGTGAGTTTGCATGAATGGGGAGAAATCAGAGTGGGGAAGCGTCACGAGCGGTGTTCCACAGGGGTCATTGTTGGGCCCCCTTTTGTTCACAATCTACATAAACGACATCGATGAGGGCATAAAGAGCGACATAAGCAAGTTGGCCGATGACACCAAAATAGGCCGTCGAATTCATTCTGACGAGGACATTAGAGCACTCCAGGAAGATTTGAATAGACTGATGCAGTGGTCGGAGAAGTGGCTGATGCAGTTTACTATAGACAAATGCAAAGTTCTAAATGTTGGACAGGACAATAACCATGCCACATACAAACTAAATAATGTAGATCTTAATATTACGGATTGCGAGAAAGATTTAGGAGTTCTGGTTAGCAGTAATCTGAAACTAAGACAAGAGTTCATAAGTGTTCGTAATAAAGCTAACAGAATCCTTGGCTTCATATCAAGAAGCATAAATAATAGGAGTCCTCAGGTTGTTCTTCAACTCCATATATCCTTGGCTAAACCTCATTTAGATTATGCTGCACAGTTTTGGTCACCGTATTACAAAATGGATATAAATGCTCTGGAAAACGTACACAGGAGGATGACAAAGTTGATCCCATGTATCAGAATCTTCCCTATGAGGATAGACTGAGAGCCCTGAATCTGCACTCTCTAGAAAGGCGTAGAATTAGGGGGGGATATGATTTAGGTGTATAAATGGAAGACAGGACTCGTAGCAATGGTTTTAAATTGGAAAAATTCAGATTCAGGAAGGATATAGGAAAGCACTGAGCTCTGCACATAGGCCAGAGCTCTGCCATAATCTCTAGCCCAGAGCTCTGCACACAGCCCAGAGCTCCACCAGAATCTCTCGCTCAGAGCTCTGCACACAGGCCAGAGCTCTGCTCGAATCTCCAGCTCAGCCGTTTCCTTGAGCTTATAAAATGGTCCTTAAAGCACCTCCCCCCTATGAGGAGTACCCCACGTGTTTTTACCTGACGCCAAGACCTGATGCCAGTTCAAGAACAAAAGACCTTAGACTTAAGCTGAGAGACGTGTCGGACAGCTATTTGCCAAGGTAAGGTGTGTGATGATTTACTGGTCAATTAGGTCTCTCTTAGTGAGCTCACAAGCAAAGTGACCTTGCAAATTAAGACACGGATCTCACCTTCAAAGACCTCATCAATGTAGCTACTGAATCTGCTAGAAAAATTATTGGATGGACAATGAAAACCTTCAAATCTAGGGACCCCATGCCCATGATCCTATTCAAATCGTTTGTTCTCTGTAGGCTGGAATACTGCTGTACAGTAACTGCCCCCTTCAAGACTGGCGAAATTGCTGACCTGGAGAGTGTACAAAGAACTTTCACGGCACACATAAGTACGGTAAAGCACCTAAATTACTGGGAACGGTTGAAGTCCCTTGATTTGTATTCCCTGGAGTGCAGGCGAGAGAGATACATGATAATATACACTTGGAAAATCCTATAAGAATTAATACCAAACTTGCCCACGAAAATCACTCTCTGTGAGAGCAAAAGAGTCTGCAGGAGACGCAACATTCCCCCAATGAAAATGAGGGGCCCCACGAGTACACTGAGAGATAACACAGTAAGTGTCAGGGGCTCAAGACTGTTCAACTGCCTCCCAGCATACATAAGGGGGATTACCATAGACCCCTGGTTGTCTTCAAGAAGGCACTGGACAGACACATAGTCACTGCCTAACAAGCTGGGCTGTGGTTCGTATGTCAGTTTGCGTGAGGCCAGCAGTAACAGCCTGGGTGATCAGTCTCTGATCCGCCACGAGGCCTGGTATCAGACCGGGCCACGGGGGCGTTGACCCCCGAAACCCTCTCTTGGTATACTCCAGGAAGATTTGAACAGACAGCTGCAGTGGCAGATGCAGTTTAATATAGACAAATGCAAAAGTGCTAAATGTTGGACAAGAAAATAAACATGCAACATATAAACTAAATAATGTAGATCTTAATACTACTGATTGCAAAAAGGATTTAGGAGTTCTGGTTAGCAGTAATCTGAAACTAAGACAACAGTGCATTAGTGTTGGCAATAAAGCGAACAGAATCGTTGGCTTCATATCAAGGAGCATAAATAATAGAAGTCCTCAGGTTGTTCTTCAACTTTATATGTCCTTGGTTAGGCCTCATTTAGGTTATGCTGCACAGTTCTGGTCACCGTATTACAGAATGGGTATAAATGCACTGGAGAACTTACAAAGGAGGATGACAAAGTTGATCCCATGTATCAGAAATCTTCCCTATGAGGATAGACTGAGGGCCCTGAATCTGCACTCTCTAGAAAGGCATAGAATTAGGGGGATATGATTGAGGTGTATAAATGGAAAACAGGAGTAAATAAAGGGAATGTAAATAGCCCGATAGAAACATGTAGCCATGACAGGACTCGCAGCAATGGTTTTAAGTTGGAAAAATTCAGATTCAGGAATGATATAGGAAAGCACTGGTTTGGTAATAGAGTTGTGGTTAAGTGGAACAAACTCCCGAGTACCGTCATAGAAGCTAAGACGTTGTGAAGTTTTAAAAATAGGTTAGATAAATACATGAGTGGGTGTGGGTGGGTGTGAGTTAGACTTGACTAGGTTGTGCTAATAGTTCTGATGCCTTGCTCCTTCCTTTTAGGTGTGCACCACATACTGTGGAAAGCATTAGACAGCAGCTGTAACTAATATTGTGTGTTACAGAAGGATGGATTCTTCGTGGAGGTTGGCGCCGTTGACGGAGAATACTTAAGTAACTCGTTGTACTTCGAGAGAAATCGGGGCTGGACGGGCCTTCTGATAGAAGCTTTTCCAGAAACCTACAAACAACTTTTAAGTAAACAAAGAAAGGCTTACTCAATAAACGCAGCACTTGCCTTGAACAACGTTTCCTCTGGAGTTATCTTTACGTAAGAACTTTTGACTTGTTGAGAGGAGAACATGACTTGAATTTTTATAACTGGCACTTAATCTATTCAGTATTCTAGTATTTTGCATTGTTTTTGCAGAGCACCAAATTTAAAACTTGCAGAAAATATGTAATTTCAAAACATGTGCATCTCCATACCCTAACATTTCCCATGTGGGAAGTTTATGTGCCCTGTCTGTATCCTCTATACCACTTACCCAACGAGGCAGTAACTAAAAAAAAAATCAAACGAACTCAAAGACTAGGTCGATAAGTTCCTACTGCGGTGAGCTTTAGGATTAGATGGTAACAAACAGCTGTCATTGAATAAACAGAAAGATGGACAGGGGACGTGAACCGCAGTCTGTAAATTGACATCATATAGACTCAAGCTGAGGTATGTACCGAGAAATGTTGCGGTCAGGATTCAGACTCGTGTGTGGAGAATGGCATATCCACCAAGTGACGCCTTAGATCACTCAGCGCACGGGCGCACCAGTGAGCCTCAGGTATGGTTTACAGTTATGTCCTCCTAAATAACAAAAAAAGGCACAATACCGTGACTGGAAAGATACACAAATAACCCGCACATAGAAGAGAGGAGCTTACGACGACGTTTCGGTCCGACTTGGACCATTTACAAAGTCACTTTGTAAATTATCCAAGTCGGGCCGAAACGTCGTCGTAAGCTCCTCTCTTCTATGTGCGGGTTATTTGTATACTATGTCTCCTCTTATGTTCTTACCACACAAGCGATTTTATATCAATGCACCACACAGAAACAAGCTGAGATATATACAAAGAAAGATTACGTTTTTCAGGATTCGAACTCATGTATGCAGAGTTGGATAGTTCCCCACCATGATGCCTTAGACCACTCAGCTACAGATGCCTCAAAAACCTAGCTAACCTGGTTACAATCCATGTTTTTTCCTTGCCCCGGGCACATCAGTGAGACTCAGGAATGGTTTCCATCTATATCGTTCTCCTCCCGTATGTTTTGACCACACGAGCGATTTGATATCAATGACAAGGGTGTTCTTTGACAAATGAGCAGTATGAAAGAGTGTGTCGTTCTTCTTCCTGTACTTTCTTTCACCCAAAAATGTGCCACTCCTCGGTCCTCCAGAAGCAGTGTTACAACATCGACTGCTCTGCATACCATCTAAAACGGACCAGGAGGCACAGACCCCACAAGACAAACAATAGTAGCTACGACAACCCAACTCCAGGTGATTTTATAGTGGCAGGAAACGGAAAAAGAAAATGGAAGGAAATAACAAAAATAGTCCACCACCTTGGAGCCTTGTTGGACTGGAGGCGCAGCCAGTGGCCACCCATGGACCTCCAGAATTACAACTACTGATGCCAATAACAAAATCCCCCCAACAAACACAGAATACAACCTCGTTCATATTTGCTAATATACAGGGCCTTAAGCCATCCACCAACAACAAAATACCTTTTATCAGTGGACTTCTAGAGGAGTCTAATGCAATGTTTGCAGCCTTCACAGAGACTCACACAAATGATCACTTTGACAGTGAAATATAGATAAGTGGTTACAACCTTTTCAGATGCGACAGAAAAAACAGGCAACAAGGGGGGGTTGGCCTGTATGTCAAAGAGTCCCTTATCTGCACGGAGTTGCTGACACCACAAATGAGGTAGTTGAAGTTCTATCAATAAAGATCGAGAACCAAAACCTAGTCATTGTGGCTGTATACAAGCCACCAGATGCAACCTCACAACAGTTCAAGGAACAGCTACTGAAAATTGATTACTGTTTGGAAAACCTTCCAGCTCCATCCCCAAACATCTTACTGCTTGGTGATTTCAACCTAAGGCATACAAAATGGAAGAATGTAGCAAATAATGTTATAGCTGAAACAATCCCCGGAGGTAGCGCAGATGAAAGGTCACACACACATGAGCTACTAAGTCTCTGCGAAAAACACACCTTAAGCCAGCAGATAGTGGAACCAACAAGACTAGAAAACACACTTGACCTTATCTTCACAAATAATGAGGACTTGATAAGAGGCATAAGAATATCAAAAACAACTAATTCCGATCACAACCTAATCGAAGTCCAGACGTACATGCATAGGGGTTCTGATCAGCAGAATGCATGTACCTGTGAAGGTGTCTTCACAAAATACAACTTCAACAACAAGAACATCAACTGGGACCAGGTAAACCATGTCCTAAACTAAACATGTTGGGAAGATGTCTTAAATGACATGGATCCAAACCAGTGCCTCGAAAGGACCAACTTCCTGGAAGCCGAAGCATGTTCTAGGCATAGTCCCCTAAGAAAGAAGAAGAGCAGGAGTAAACTGGAGAGAGAAAGACGCTCCCTCTACAGAAGACGACGAAGAGTCACTGAGCTCCTCAGGAGTGCTAGAATATCTGATACACGAAAGGAGGCGCTGACCAGGGAAGTGGAAACTATCGAACTTAAGTTAAATGACTCTTACAGGAACCAGGAGAGGCAGGAGGAGCTTAAAGCTATTAGTGAAATTGAAAGAAATTCAAAATATTTCTTTTCATATGCCAAAAACAAGGCAAATACCACATCTAGTATCGGGCCTTACTCAGACAGGATGGGACTTACACAGATGACAACAAGGAAATGAAATGAAATAATGAAACCCGTTTGACTCTGTGTTTAGTGAACACTAATCGGTCTGAGGATCGACGACCCAAATGATTTATTCATGAATGAGCCTCAAACTCCATAAATGTATGCCAATTCCGACATTACCCTGACTCCGATAGATTTCGAAAAAGCCATTGACCACATGCCCTATGTCGACATCAGCCCGGCAGACTGTAGGAAATCTGTTTTCTTAAGACAATGCAAGAAACCCCTCTCGCGTGCCATAAGTACGCTAATGACGGTGGAGCTTGGACCTGGGTAAAATTCATCATAAAACAACGGATATAGCCCACCCATAAAGTTGGCAGCAAGCATTTGCAATGAAATATAGACCAATAGCTCTGACGTCGCACATCATAAAAATCTTTGAAGAGTGCTAAGAAGCAGGATTGCAAATCACCTGGATTCCAAAATCTGCACAATCAAGGCAACATGGGTTCAGGGAGGTCGCTCCTGCCTCTCACAACTACTGGATCACTATGACATGCCTTTAAAATGACTGAAGAAAATCAGAAAGCAGATTAATATACCAGACTTTGCAAAGCATTTGACAAAATGCGATCATGGCGTAATGCCCATAAAATACGTGACTAAAGGATAAGTGGGAAAGTGGGGAGATGGATCTTCAACTTCCTAACAAATCGAACACAAAGTAGAGTGGTCAACAGAGTTAAATCGGAAAGCTACCATAGTAAGACTCTGTTCAAGGTGCACAGTTATGCAATCATTATCCATTTTCCTTTCCTCATATCGACATAGAGATATATCCCACAGCACGTAAATCCTTTGCGGATTTGATATAGGATCTTGCAAAGAGGCTGTCATTGTGAGACGCGGTTAAATCCAAGAAGATATAAACAAGTTTTCTCAAGTGGGCAACGGTAAACAGGTAAGAGTTCATATAGGACAAATTCTATATCCGATATGAAAACTGAAGGAGATAATGCTAGAACAGAGTATACTTATCCTCCGGCCAACAAATTAGAGCTGAAAACATTAATGTAAGTGCACTGGGGTAGTAATGCTGAGGAAACTCACTTCTCATAGTGATCACAAAGTGCCACGTACGAGTTGCCTCAAACAAAATGATAGTTGATTTAATGAGAACTTTTAAAACCGAACGAATGTTGCCAATGTATACCTTTTAAATCACTATGTTCTCTCTAGGCTAGGATATACTGCATGTACATTAACATCTCCATTCAAACCAGTGTGAAACGCAGATTAGAGATGTACAGATATCCTTTACTGCTACGTAAAGTATCTGTCAAGCACCTTAATACTGGAAACGCTTGGAAGCACTTGTCTGTACTCGTTGGAACGCGGAGGGTTGGATATATCATAATCTACACTTGGAAAATCTTGAAAGGAATGGTCCCAAATCTGCAACAGAATCACTCCCTACGAAAGTAAGACTGGGCAGGCGATGCAATATGCCCCCAATAAAAAGTAGGGGCGTCATTGGTACACTAATGGAAAACACCATTAGCGTCCAGGGCCAAAACTGTTCAACAGCTCCCATAAGCATTAGGGAATTGCCATAGCCCCTGGCTGCCTTCAAGAGAGAGCTGGATCAGATACCTAAAGTCAGTGCCGGATCGCCGGGCTGTGGTTCGTACGTTGGACTGCGTGCGGCAGCAGTAACAGCTAGTTGATCAGGCCCTGATCCATCGGGAGGCTGGTCATGGGACCGGGCCGCGGGGCCGTTGATTCCCGGAATAACCTCCAGGTAATCTATGTTAGCGAAATAAGTCCGCTATATTATATATATATATATATATAATATATTATATATATATATATAATAATATATATATTTATATATATAAATTATATATATATATATATATATATATATATATATGTCGTGCCGAATAGCAGACTTGCGATCTTGATTAAAGCAACGCTCATTTTGCCATTAGGACAAGTGAAAATTTGTGTATGCAATAATTTCGCCAAATTCATTCTGAACCTAACGAAAAAAATATGTTTGATTGTGTTTGTTTAGTACTAAATTAATTGTAAACGTATTAATATAAATTTGGGGTTAGGCTAAAAAAAATTGTTTGTTAATAAGGTTGGTAAGTTTTCTAAAAAATTCCCCTTTTTGGTGCAAAATTGAAAATTTCCCTAACCTTATTATAAAAGCCAATTTATTTAGGCTAACCCACTAAATATTTTTAGATTTGTTTACAAAATTTAATACTAAACAAACACAGTGAAATATATTTTTTTTCGTTAGGTTCAGAATGATTTGGAAAAATTATTGCATACACAAATTTTCACTTGTCCTATATGGCAAGATGAGCGTTGCTATTTAAGCCAAGATCGCAAGTTCT